ATATCAATATTATAAACAAACTAAATATAGAATACATTACAAATAATATTTAAAAAATAAATGGTTAAAAAAAGACAATCTGGTCAATAAAAAAATTCTGCATACTGTAAAGTATTTTTAAAAAATCAAAACAAAATGATCAATCAAGGTCACGGTAACGAACGATGGAGGTTTTAAAGAAAAAACTAAATATATAAAAACCCAAAGAACCAAAAGCAGCCAAACAAGAAGCAAGCAGGGATGAATGGAAGCCAGAATATCACTCTCTCTTTTCTCATTCTCTCCATGTCTGCTCACCTGTCTCTCTCTTCTCTGTCTCACCTATCTGTCCACTGTCTTTCTACCTGTGCAGGTGGATTTTCTGCCCTAGAGAGAAAAAGGAAGGAAAAGTGTCTCACCCAGAATGGCTGTTGGTACGAAGGGGTCTGCAGTAGGGACACGCCAGCGCCAGACAGACAGGGAATCAGACAGACGGGACAAAAGAAGAAGGAAAAATCAGCCCCCTATGTCTCAAGTCCACACATCCAGCTTAGCCGGGCCAACTTTGGCTAGACGTCGGCACGCTCTGACGGATGTGGGCTTATTGTTTCGTGTAGTCAGAGTGCTCAATCACACTGTGTCCGTATGCGACCTGTGTGACCTGCTGTAAAAAATACTAACGGTCTGATATGTCCTGATGTGTGAGAGAAAAATCAAAGTGCTGTTTGTTACCTGGGTAGTAGGAGGTGGGGACGGTGGTGCTGATGGTGTTTGTCTTCAGGGTGAAGGAGGACGGAGATGACATAGCTGGGCAAACAAAAAATACAACCTTTATGTTTCCTAGAGAAATCTTCGGGTGTGTCTGGGAGGTCAGTCTGCCTTTCACGTTAACATTCTGATTTTAACATTCTGACAAAAAGCAAACAATTTCATCAGTTTTGCTTTTTATTTAGGAAAACAGATATTTGTCATCATATATCTGATGAAATCAACACAGCCTGGCAGATTTAGATTTTGTTAAATTGACAAAATTAAAAGTCACTCGTCGCTGAGTTTGTGCTGAAAATGAAAAGGACCATTAAGACGCTGTTAATTTGTGTCCATTTAGTGTGTGTGTGTTCACGATGGTTGTGTAGGGTGCTTTTGTCTTTTTGTTGTGTACTCACTGTGTCCATTCAGTGTGTGTGTTTCCACCGTGGTTGTGTGTTGCTGTGTGTTGTTGACCATCAGAGTCATTTCCTGTCTGGAGCTCAGAGTTTCCTTCCTCTTCTTCGCCAACTTCCTGTAGAGATGGCAACAACAAAGTTGCAGAGTTCAAGAAGATTCTGGTTCTGGTGTTGCTGGAGACCGGGACCATCTGGTCCTGGTTTAGCATGTTTAACGGAACACAGCTTAGTTTTTAAACAGGTCCTGGTCCCGAATCACACCTGTCTCTCTATTGTTCTCTGTTGGTGTCTCTTGCCCCGAGGCACTGGGAGTATATTTAGAGCAAACTCTGCAGCCTCTTAAGGTGGTATGAGAGGGACTGTTTCATTTGGTTTAAGGAGGTATTTTTCAACACTTGTTTTCAACGAGTTTTTCTCCTAAAATGGTATGAGCGGATTATAATATGCTTTTTCTTATGATTTAGTTAAGATGGTATGAAGGACTTTTAAAGTCAGTAATTTTTTTGACTAGGTGGTATGGGGAGGGTTTTGTTTGACAGTTAAGGTGGTATGAGCAGATTGGGTTTCTTTGTACTTAAAGTAAGCGGAATATTTTTATCTGTGTTAAGGTGTTTTGAGGTGAATGTCAGGATCAGATTGATCATGGCAGTACGAGTGAAATGCAATTTGCTTCCCTCGGTTTAAGTGGTATAAACAGGCTTGTTAAGGCCACGTTTCCTGTTCAGGTCTGTCAATCCGTTTCTTTCATAACCCTGCAGAAGAAAAAAAACATCTTTCATCCTCTTGTCTGTCCATCCATCATCTGAACGTCCACACACTGAAAACCCTTCCATCTGTTCAATCTTTCCATCTGCACCCGGGTTGAAAGTTTCCTCTCTATTTATTCCAAGTGTGTGAATAAAAACCATCCATTTGTCCGGCTGCTCACACACAGAGACATACACACACCCAGTAGAAAGTTTAACCCTGACCTGAAATTGGAAAAGGAAAAACATTGAAATATATAAATAAAAACACAAAAACAGGCTTTTAAACAGAAAGTCAGGGAGAGCCGTGTGTGTCGAGTTTAAGATGGAGGATGGTGAAAGTGCCCTGAGGCGAGGCCCTGCCCTCCTCCCCCTCGTGTCTCCTTTCTCTTCTGTGCCTCAGTCAGTAAAAACCTGCAGTGTTTCTTCTCTGATTCAGACCTGAATACACAAACATCTGCAACACAAACTCAGTGCTCACATGAAAACACAAGAAAAACCTTGTGATACTGTGTTCAGTCTGTCAACATCGCCCTGGTTCAGCATGTTTCAGACCAAACCAGAATGTAGACGAGAGACGGGCAAAACCACCACAGAGAGAGAGACAAAACCAGCACCAACAGGGTAAGAGTGACCAGACGCAAGTGACACCAACAGGAGATCCAGGAGAATTGACACTAAAGTGCCATTTTTATTCCCTCTCACTTGCCTGAACAAGTAGTTTTGTGTGACCTGCACCTGTTATCTTGTTAACTGAACTTCTTCTTTGCAGGTTTGTGTGTCTTTCATTGTGAGGAGCTGATATGACCTTTCTGACTCCAATAAGCTAGCCTGACCCCCCCCTACACCCACTCTATAAAGCCCAGTGAACAGAGAGAGGGAGAAGGAGGTATCCTCGCTTCACCAACACAATCCTGCAGCAAACAGCTTTCATGTGTTGTCATGTCAGTGAGGTGTCGAGAGTTGACTGATTTTGCAACACTTAACACGCACACACAGGAATGCGTGTCAAGGCTAATCTATGCTAATCTAATGAGGGACAGGACAATGCTGTTAGCGCTAATGGATGTCAGAGTGTGTCTGTGGAGGCGCGGCGTCACTCCTTGTAACGATCATTTGATCAGACAGGTTTATTGCAGCTGGCTAATTCTATTAACGCTGTTCCACTGCACTCACACACACTCACACCGCCATTCATCACAGCCTCCTGCAAAAATGGAAAACCAGCACTCAAGCACTGTAACTACAGTAGTGGAGTATCTGTACTTTACCTGAGTACTTCCATGTCCTGCTACTTCATACTGTGACTTCACTCCATGTCAGAAACAAACCGTGTACTTTTTACTGCACCACATGTACCTGATAACTTCAGGTCCTTTCCAGAATCAGATGAATCAAACCCGGTGGGAAATCCACCAGCTACCCAGCAGGATGGAAAGTACTTCACCGTATAAGTATATAAGGTAGATACCATCAGCTCCACCTTTACCAGCTGCAGCATTAAAGTGATGAACACAGTAACGCATCAGTCACTGTGATCCAGTAGTAACATATAGGCTACATGCTTTTAGCCAATCCTAAACCTCCTGCACAGATGTGCAGTTTATATTGCGATTTTGGTGCGTGACGTCTTAGATCACAACATTTATTTTCTAAATATGAAGTTACTTTACTCACACATCAGTCACAAGACAATAAAAAATCCCTAAATGTTGCCAGGTTTGTGCAGGCTTCACCAACTTACATTTAAGAGCTTTCTACCACTACAGGGGAGGAGAGACCACAGAAACACTGGATCAGTTTAACTTGTGTGCTTGTGATTGTGAAGCAGCTGTTACCCACAAACACCATGACCTGAGGAGGCGTGTGTGAGCACTTCCCATCTCCCTGAGGAGGCATCGGTTTGTGTAATTCAGTCCTGACCTGGAGGAAAATGCAGGTTTCTCTCCTCCACCATGCTGTATTTATGGATCAAACAGCTGAACATCACTGGTTTATTTTTCTCATCTGGGTTTGAAACACAAACCAAGTCGAACCAGCCAGGAGGAGACTGGAGACGCCTCGGAGTTAAATTAACTAAAACCTATGATAAGAACACAGCAGGCGACAGAAACGGAAGCTGAAGCCAACAAGAGTGAATCAAAGCTAAGGACTAGTTTAGCACTGAGCAGAGGAATGATGAGTCCAACCAGACCAACACAGGACAAAGAGACAAGAGGAAAGCCAGCTGTCATTGAACATGCACAGTGTTTAGGTTAACCCTAACATTTGAGTGCAGTGTCTCTTCACCATGGAGCTAAAGTCGACTAAAGATCAGCCTCAGTGATGATGACGATCAACAAACTTCTTTATACTTACACTAAAGTAGTCACCTTTACTTGTCAGAGGATGGCAAAAAAGGCCTCACTCATGAGAAATGCAAAAAACTGTTCCCCATTAAAATTAAGTTAATTAAAAAAAATTATGGCCATGTTATTTTTGTGACAAAAATTACCGACAGCTCTATCTGAACAGGTGAAAATACACCATCCACACCAAAGTCCAAACCATCCATCCATCCATTTTCCTCCGCTTATCTGGGCAGTAGTCTAAGCAAAGATGCCCAGACTTCCCTCTCTCCAGACAGTTCCTCCAGCTCCTCCGGGGGAATGCTGAGGCGTTCCCAGGCCAGCCGAGCCAGCCTTCATACGCGGCTGCAAATCGCCCCAGTGCATGCTGGAGGTCCTGGTTTGATGGGGCCAACAGGACAACGTCGTCTGCAAAAAGCAGAGACGAGATCCTGTGGTCCCCAAACCGGACTCCCTCCGGCCCCTGGCTGCGCCTAGAAATTCTGTCCATAAAAATAATGAACAGAACCGGTGACAAAGGGCAGCCCTGCCGGAGTCCAACATGCACTGGAAACAAGTCTGACTTACTGCCGGCAATGCGAACCAAGCTCCTGCTCCGGTCGTACAGGGACCGGACGGCCCTTAGCAAAGGGCCCCGGACCCCGTACTCCCGGAGCACCCCCCACAGGGCGCTGTGAGGGACATGGTCGAATGCCTTCTCCAGATCCACGAAACACATGTGGACTGGTTGGGCAAACTCCCATGAACCCTCCGCCACCCTGAAGAGGGTATAGAGCTGGTCCAGTGTTCCACGGCCAGGACGAAAACCGCATTGTTCCTCCTGAATCCGAGGTTCGACTATCGGTCGAATTCTCCTCTCCAGTACCCTGGCATAGACTTTCCCGGGGAGGCTGAGGAGTGTGATCCCACTATAGTTGGAGCACACCCTCCGGTCCCCCTTCTTGAAAAGAGGGACCACCACCCCGGTCTGCCA